TGCAAGAGTAAATGATGCAGGATTTCAGGTAGAGAAGAGGAGGTCCAAGATTGGTTAATTTGCAGTCTTGGAAGGAGGCTGCAAGGTGTGTGATACACTAAATCTATCACAATATTTAGTGATAGATATTTGCCTCACAGAAGTTGCTTCTATAAAAATCATAAAATATTTCTCAGTGCAACATTTCATGAATACAAATCCCTTTCTGGATTGAAACCTGAGGTGTATGTTGGCCATAGGAATTACCTTCATGTGACTTGGGTTATTCTGTTAGGTGCTGTTCGGGGTCTAGGCTTCCTGTGGAATCTCACTCATAGGATTGAGCATTTTTTTGTGCCAACACATGGGAGCAAGGGGTGAACAGAGCAGGGATCAGCTACTATCAGAAGTGTTATTTAGTGTAAGAAAACAGACGGATATTCCTATTGTTTACTCACCCATTTTGTCAATGACTTTTAATCATCAGTTAGAAATATTAACTATATCTATTTCTATCAATCTCAATATTTCACTGGTCAATAATATGGATACTTTTCCCTATGGATATACTCAACTCTTCATCTTCTTTCTCATCCTCATCAGCTTCAGAGGTTCCTGAGTGCTAAAGTTGCTCCTAAATTGCCTACCTACCTACTAAGCCTAAAAAATAAACCGGTAGAGTTTTTCTTTTTGCTTTTATTATTTTTTGCCTAAGAGCCTGGCAAGCTACCCGTGATGTATTTGATATACCAAACGCAGTAACAACAAGTCTCATGATGGAGATGTTCCTGGGCCAGCTCGAGCAAATCGATGAAAACGGGAGGACCGTGACCGTGATTCTTGTGTTGCATTGGAGTCATCTACTAATCACTATAATTGAATATACACTTTAAACTCGGGCTGGAGCGATAGCACAGCGGTAGTGCGTTTGCCTTGCACGCAGCCCACATGGCCGACACGAGTTCGATTCCTCCGCCCCTCTCAGAGAGCCCGGCAAGCTACCGAGAGTATCTCGCCCCCATGGCAGAGCCTGGCAAGCTCCCTGTGACGTATTCGATATGCCAGACACAGTAACAACAAAGTCTCCAATGGAGACGTTACTGGGCCCGCTCGAGCAAATCGATGATCAACGGGAGGGCCTTTACCTTTACCTTTTACACTTTAAACTTACATTTTGATTGACTGCTAAATGGAAGCTGCATGTAAGGATAATTGCCAAGGAGAAACAAAACAATAAAAACACAAGTTTTATCTTAATTATTAATTGTTCACCCATTTACAATTCCTGGTGGGGTTTGCTGCTTAACTTTATGCTTGAAATCTCATTATTTTTGAATAAGAACTTTTTTTTTCTGCCCCACCTCCAAGACAAAAAGATTTAACTTGGACTGTGACTAAACATTCTGTTTCCCTATTTGCAAAGGCATTGCCTTTCACACAAAATGTAAGACATAATGGGCAGAAATGAGACAGAATTAGCCTTGTCTGGAAATGACTGAAGTACTGGGTGTGAAATCCACAGTTGCTTCACAGGCAGGCGGAAGAAGAAAACAACCTGACAGGCAGCAGGTAATGAAATAGGGATTCCTCATTCCTCATTTCCTCATTTCCAATTTCTACAAAAGCTGAATATTGACTCTAAGTCCTTTTCATTGTTTGTGAGTTCAGCCTCTGAAATAATAACCTTACCTTTCCTTTAATGTTTGTTAAGTATCTGCTATCACTTGATCACTTGACTTCCTATTAATTGTTGATTTGCTCAAGCGGGTGCCAGTAATGTCATCTCCATTTGTCCCTGTCACGTGCTAGTGTAGCCCAATGGCATCCATTCGTTCTAGGAATATGAAGAGCCTCAAACCAATCGTTCAGGGTCTTGACGGAGAAGTCTGACCATCTGGCAGGTGGGCAGCCACGTGGTCTTTTGACATCTCGTGGAATTCAGTCAGTAATGGCTCTAGTCCAGTGGTCATCTCCAAATCTCAATACTTGTCCAGCCCATCTGATTTTTGATGCCTTGGCAAACGAGACAACGTCCCTGATTCTTGATCGTCTATGGAGGTCAGAACTTTGGATTCTTTCTCTCATTTGAGTGAAACGTGATATTCCAAGCATAGCTCTTTCGTTTCCTCTCTGGGAGACCCAAATATCATTCTCATCCTGTTTGCGTAGGGTCCATGTCTCTGAGACGTATGTTAATGCAGGAAGAACAGTGGAATCAAAGAGATGTGCCCAGAGCTGGAGGTTCTTCATCGTCTTAGCTATTTCTTCGACACTCTTGAAGGCGTTTCAAGCCACTCTCTTCCTCCTGCGCAGCTCGGGTGCCAGGTCATTTGTCATGTTGACTTCTCAACCTAGATACACATAACTGTTGCATTCGGAGATGGTCGTTCTGTTGAGAGTGAATGAAGCGTCAGGGACGAGGCTGTTTCTCATAAACATTGTCTTCATAAGATTCGGCTGTAGTCCGACCTTTCCACACTCACGGTCAAAGTCAGCCAGCATTTGTGCCACTTGGCTAATGTTTGGTGTTATTAGAACAATGTCATCAGCAAAGCGGAGGTGGTGTAGTTGCCGACCATCTATCTTCACTCCATTCCTTCCCAGTAATTACATAAGTATTTGCTATAAAATTTGAATATCCAAGAGACACATTCCTGTTTCTGGGAAGTTTTCGGTTGAAAAATTCAGTGAAGTTTTTTAGCACTGTAGCACTGTCCTCCTGTTGTTCATCAGTTTGCTCGAGCAGGCACCAGTAATGTCTCCATTGTGAGACTTGTTGTAAATCTTTTTGGCATACGCCACAGGGAGTTTGCCAGGTTCTGTCGTGCGGGCGGGACACTCTTGGTAGCTTGCTGGGCTCTCCGAGTGGGACAGAGGATTTGAACATGGGTCGGCCGCGTGCAAGACAAATACCCTACCCGCTGTGCTATGACATGTTGACATGACCCTGAATAGACCTTATCTATTCTTATCAATAAATGCATAAACAGGCCTTTTTCAAAGCAACCTCCACTATGATATCACAGAATCTTCCATGAAAGAAGCCATTTGCCAAGGACACATTTTGGACTGGCAGATTTTTCTCTCCCTCTCAATAACATATAAGATTGTTTAAGTTCTGTACTTTGTTGATCTAATGGTTATGCACTGCATTGATTACCACAGCAACAACTCTACCATTCAGATAACTGTCACCTTGTGTGTGTGAGAACATTTAAAGCTCCATCTTTTAGCAAGGAGCTTTAAGGTATATAATACATCATTGTTGGGCTATAAACACTGTGTGTTTCTCCTCAGAAATGCATCTTTGATCTTTGCTGTGGTCCTTTTGAGCACGATCTGTATCCTAACCCCAGTTACCACCAGTCTACTCCGGTTCCATTATTTCCTCTGTCTCAGGTTCCACAAGTGAGATCCTCTACTGTTTCTTTTATCCCTCTTTCCTTCTGTCATTGATGTTTTCTGATCACCACTCTGGTTGTCATAAATAATAAATAGATGTAGTTTAAAACATCTCTCTCTCTCTCTCTCTGTGGTGGATGATTATATAATATGTTAAGTAACAAATATTAAAATGTATCATTACAAAATTATGATTATACATCTATATTTAATAGACTCCCTACTAGAAGCTTATACATTTTTTACTAAAAGAGAACTTTGTATGAGTATCTCAGTTATTAGATTATAATACCCCCACAAAAATCACAGTCTTTGTTTTTTTGTAATGAACGTTGTTATTCTTATTGACAGAGAAGATAGTTTTAAGAAATGTGAATTTCCAGCAAGAACTTTTTAATCTAATTTAAAAAAAATGTAAAATCTGTTTTTTTACTTTTTGGGGTCATACCTGGCGATGCACAGGGGTTACTCCTGGCTCATGCACTCAGGAATTACTTCTAGCAATGTTCAAAAGACCATATGGGATGCTAGGAATCAAACCCGGGTTGGCTGCATGCAAGGCAAACGCCCTACCCACTGTGCTATTGCTCTAGCCCCAAATCTCAGTATTTTAAGAAATATTTTAAATTTCAATGATTATTTGAAAATCATACTTTACTCTCACAATTTGTATTGTACAAAAATGTAATAGTAATGCCTGCCTTATTAATATCTGTCCTGTATAAATGTCTTGGAAATAATTACATATTTTGTTGAAGAGAGTTAAAGTGAAATAATTTATCACAACAAACTTAATACTATTTTAAGTTCATTTCAATAATGTTATATCTCAACATCTCTCTCTCTCTCAGTATATTTGTTTGGGGGCCATATCTGACTGTGCTCAAGTCTTTCTCCTGACACTGTGCTCAGGAATCACTCCTGGGAGAATCACAGAACCATAGGGCTTGCTGGAAATTAAACCCAGTCAGCCATATGCAAGGCAAGCACCTTACTCACTGTACTATCATTCTAGTTCCTCAACACTGTAATTTTTGAAGTAGTGTCATGACATGATTGCTGGGGTATGGGTCACACTAGCAGTACTCAAAAGTCACTCTTGGCAGTGCTCTGGGATCATAAGTGGTGCTAGTTTTTGAACCAAGATTTCCCACAAGCAAGGCAAGTACCTTATTTTCTGTACCATCCTTCAGGGGCTACAGATTATTTTAAAGAAATGTTTATAATATCCCTTTCATATGTTTACTAATAACTTGCCTTTGAAGGATCAGGACTTAAATGCTGTAATGAATTTTATAATGTCATCTACTTAACATGTTGAAAACTTTTCATTAAACAGAGATGAAAATTTTGCTTGTGGGGTAACACTTGTCCTGACTAAGGTTGTGCTCAGCCCCCATAACACCAACACAAATCTTTGTTGATGTGGTAATAAAGCCTCATTTGTGTCAAGTTATAGTCTCTGTCCATACAAAATGTTACAACATTAATGGCTTATGAGACGATGTTGGACTCTTTGTCATCATCTTGCTTACATAGGAAAGACATCCATCCATCACTGCATTCATTATCCAGTAAATCCCTTCCTAATTTCATGCAACTACTTCTTTTCTCCTCAGGAATGTTTGTTATCCAGGTAATAGCCAGCGATGCTGACGACCCTTCCAGTGGCAGTAATGCTCGTCTTCTGTATAGTTTACTGCAAGGCCAACCATATTTCTCCATCGAACCAACAACAGGTATCTCTGAATAAAATAAATTAGGAATAAACATCATTCTAAGTTGACAACTGTTGGAGAAAAATAGTCTCTGCTTTCAAATATGACCAACTTAGGAACTATTTTTATTAACAAAAATGTTTACTATTTTAAATAATTTGTTCATTTTTAATGTTTTAGCTTATTTTTTAAGTTTGGAGATTAAATATTCCACATACCACAAATGATTTATGTGTAATATCAGTTATATATAAGGATTCTTAAAAATTATAAAAAGTTATATACAATTTAAAAATAAGAGGGAAGGACAATCATAAGAAGTTGACAATAATTGATGTACAAATAGCATGCAAACATATTAAAACTCATCAGTCATCACGGAAATGCAAATTAAAACCACAATGAGATACACCTGCATACTACAGAAATAAATCCGATATGCCTGAGTTAAGCATTGGATGTAGGAAGCAATATAAGACATTCTCTTTTTAAATATAGGCGTGTATTTTGTATGTTTTTATTTAAATTAAGAAATTTGATATTTCTTTCAGAGCTTATTTGTTAAAAGCTTTATAAAGTGGAAAGAATAACACATTTTCCCTCTTAAGGATATATTGGTTACATCAAAATTGTGAGAAAGTAATTCGTTTAGCAAATGCTGATTGTTCAAAGATCTAGACCTATGAGTCTTGTACTGAAGAATTTTTTTTCAAAAGTGAGCCTAAACAAAAACCCATGAATTTTTAAACCCATGAGTTTTAAAATCACCCTGCCAGACTTAAGCAATTGTCAAAAGAAATAAATGTTCACTGTTGTTAATAAGTGACAAATGCCATCACCTAATTATTACCATGAGGGCTGTAAGCTCGATGTAGAGGTGGTTTTATTTTACAGTTTTTCTCCAGGGTATTATTTGTACATTAGACACAGAAAGCCTGCTTGAATTCTAAAGAAATTAACTAATGAGACAGATGCCAATTTTAGTAATAAAATAATAACTGTTATTTGTTACCGTATTAAAGGAGTCATAAGAATATCTGCTGAAATAGATAGAGAACGTCAAGACAAGTATTGGGTCCTTGTTCAAGTCAAGGACCTGATCGGTGAGCCTGGAGCACTGTCTGCGACAACAAGTGTCTTAATTAAGCTTTCTGATGTGAATGACAACAAACCTGTATTTAAAGAAAGTAAGTAGAAAGCAACTTGACTTTTCACTGTAATTTAATTATAAGCACTCGCACTCTGCTTTTCTAAAGCTCACATTGCATCACTTGACTTTTACAAAACAGCTACAGAGATAACTGTTTTCTCTACCAGTAGAGAATTTTTCACTTTTATGAAAGAGAAAAAAAAAATAAAGACATTCACTGTGGGTTCTATAGAGGCTTTTGCAGGGGAAGCACACAGCCTGAGCAGAATATTCCACCCGTCTCCTTTACAGAATTTTAAATTCCTCCCTAAATTCTTATGATCTGTGCATTTCCTTAGTAACTCGCTCAAGTGGACCTTGACAAAGAGAGAGATTGAGAAAAAGTAATTAGTGGAAAGTATGGAGGTGGGGTGGAAAAAAATCTTTGAGGGCAGCATGGGGGGGCCCTAAGGCTCACTCCGTAACCGCCCAGCCAGGGGCCCAGGCCACGGAGCAGACCATGGACGAAATGAGGGCCAAGCCTGTTGATCAGTTGCCATTTATTCCATTCTCCCCAAGCGCCTGCCCCAGTCTCTCTGAGCCTCCCATCCTAGTCTCACACTCCCCTCATTTCCATCTCCTGTCTATCCCGCTTATTTCTCCACACTCCATCTCGCAGCCTGGGTGCTCTCTCTCTCTCTCTCTCTCTCTCTCTCTCTCTCTCTCTCTCTCTCTCTCTCTCTCTCTCTCTCTCTCTCTCTCTCTCCTTGCTTCTGTATTCTTCTACATTCTTCTCTCTCTGTCCCCCTTGGTAGCCTCTCTGCAGTCCATCTTGCCAGCCTGCTCTCTCTCCTCTCTCCAGCTCTCTTGCCTCTCCAACTCCTCAGCACTCTAGGCTGATACTGCATCCAGTCAGGTAGCAAAATCAACATAAGAAAGCCCTTCCTGAGGGCCATCAAGTTCAAAGGGAACACCACCTAGGATATTCCAAAACTCTTCCTGACTGCCCAAGGGCAAAATACCCTTTAAGGTGTTTTTCTCTTTTCCCTAGTCCAATAACTCTATCAACATCTCAATACCAGTTATTTTTGTATGGGCACAGTAAGAGATACTATTGAGGCTTGTAGGGCAGCTCTCCTGGGAGCATCTTGCCACAGACTCAGACTACAGGGCTCGGACCACATTATTCATTCCTAACCCTAGCAGGGTCAAAATCTAGTTACTACTTTTTGGATCATGACAGCATTTGTCCATGACCAAGCTCTTAACTTATGGAGCTTTGGCCAGGCCCATCTCGATGCCAGTTCACCACTTACCAGTAGCACATAGCTTACCGGTTGCCCTGGTTCCGTCCAGTTCCTCGTCAGGACACTGCTTTTGGGGGCACTAGGAAGAAAGGCAGCTGAGGATTAGGTGAGAGAACAGATGCCTAGGAGGGAAATATTACTGAGTCACATTACAAAAGCATGTCTTCTTGTGTCCAAACAAAAAGGACATTGCTCTGAATAAACTATGCAAAGATCTTAGGGAGAAGAGAAAAACAATACTTACAAGTCAAAAGAGCACAAAAAGAAGTTACAAATAAACACAGAGAAATGGGAGCACTGTGATGGAAGTAACCCAATAAACCTAAACTACCTGGGGCTATGCAGGAAGGACAGAACAGTGTTATCCTACAGTGGACCTTTCCATAGTCCACGCATACAGGGTTTTATAATTCCATATTTTATTTACATGTGCAAAATATCTTCACTCATTCAAAGGTTTCTACCGCCTGACTGTCTCTGAATCTGCACCCATTGGCACGTGCGTAGGGAAAATTGTGGCATATGATGATGACATAGGAGAGAACACAGACATGGATTACATTCTTGAAGAAGATAATTCCCAAACTTTTGAGATCATTACCAATGATGAGACCCAAGAGGGAATAGTTCAACTAAAGAAGGTAAACATATTTAAAGTATTTGCTTTGAAAAACAATGCAAAATCTCATCAGAGGTATGTAGATTTATTTTCAGTGGCCAGTTATTTTTGGAGCATTAAGTAGCCCCAATGAGAATGGGTGATTTATACTTTTACGGAGGGAAAGGGGATTTAGAAATGAGAGGGTTACTACAGAGCATCTCATTTTATTTGTAAAACTGTTGTTTTTATTGTTGTGGTGACCACATCCAAGATTTTTTAGAGTCCACCTGGAATATATACTGCAGTGTGGGATTGAATCTGGGATCTCACATTTTCAGGGCAAGTGCTCTACCACAGAAGCATCAAAGAACAATTGGTTTTGCTTTTAAATTCAAGAACACATTAAAATAATTAGGTAACAGAATGTTAAGTCTATGTGAAAGTTATGCTTAGAAGAGTGTATTTCAATTATAAATGTAATGGATTAAGTATCCCTACGTTTTACAATAAAGGACCAAAAAGAATGTGCCATGCAAATGTTTCATGACAATACCAAAAGAGTTCACTTGCCTACAAAATAAAAATCCAACCGAAAGGCAACTTCATTTATATTATTATTCATATTTGGCTTTGGGGGGTCTCTCCTAGTGGTGCTTAGGCATAATTCTCAGAGCTGCACTCATGAAACTCTCCTGGTAGTGCTCAGGGACCATACGGACTGATGGAGATGGAACCTGGATTGACAGCATGCAATACAAATGCCCTACCCACTGGACTGGCTCTCTGGATCCTTGATCTAACAACCAAACATTGCTTTCTCATGCAATTACTAACGTAATTTCTTTTTGTGTCTACTACCCTCGTTTTGGCAGAAAGTGGATTTTGAGGTTCAGAACAACTATCGAATTATAGCGAAAGTCATAAACCGCCACGTGCCTGAGGAGATGGCGATCTATCACGAGGATCCTTCCGTCACTATCATCAAAGTGATCGTGGAGGATGAAGATGAACCTCCTGTCTTTCTCCTCCCTTACTACAGTTTTGAAATCTCAGAAGGAAGCCCTTTCGGATCCGTTGTAGGCGTGGTCTCTGCCATCGATCCGGATCAAAGGGATTCTCCAATTGGGTATGTCCGCAAAGCCCAGCCTTTCCTGATTGCCTTGGATGAATGCAAGTGAGCTTGAAAATACAACTGCACACTTAAGTACAGATGGATCTGGAGTAGCTACAGTTCTCTAGTCGGTACTTAACGATTTTCAACAAGCTAAACTAGGATGTTTCACTGTTGGATAAGATGGGGTGAAAACGACAATGTGCAAGAAATGGGCAATGGCCTTTTCAAATTCTATGCATCAATACTATCATAATGAGGAGGTGAAGGAAAAGAGGCCCTTGAGAGGCTCATGAGATCAGAAACAAATAGGATCAGATAGGATCGATCTTAACACCATTTCAGAAATAGAGCATACTTTTACAAGAGTCTGTTTAAGTAGGGTACAAGTGAAAAGTACCCAATCAGAAAGACATTTTGTCAAAATTTGATAATGGTTCCCAGACTATTTAACTAGTCTGTTACATTCAACTCCTATATGTATTTCCTTTTTCTCCTCACCCAATAATCAAATTACATATAAAATCATACTCTGTTGAATGTTTCTTTTCATCAACATCTCTTATGCACCCATTTTTCACAGTTAAATCTATAGAATTACAAAATTAATATGTATTAAGATGTTGGCTACTGCTTCTTCTTGAGTGGTATGGAATAAAATATTATATCAAGTCATGTATAATTATTGCTTGCATGTTTCCTATATGTAAAATAGTACATTTAAGTGAGGCAAATTAAAGAGCCATATTAAAACATTAGCAGAGGGCATGTGTTTTAGTTTATCATTACTGGAAATTACTTACCTTATTCTCTACTAGAATTGCTTTGGCTCAAGCAGTTTATCTTATATACTGAATAAGTCATTTTTAGTAGTAGTGTATATATACTTATCAAAAAATCAATTCCTTTTATGCACAATTTTTTATTTAGAAGTAATTTTGAAATTATATATATATATATAAAGATCACATTTTTTCCATGTGATATTCATTTTGACATAGATTCTAAAAATATGAAACCAAAAGTAGTATATATAAAAATACAATTTTAACTCATTTCTGGAGCTCTTTCTCTCTTCACTCTGTATCTTCCATCTTCCTTCCCTCATTCTTTTTTCTTGGAAGTAAAGTACAGAGAAAATTTTTGAAATAAATAATTTCAGCTAGAATTTGAATTGATGATATCTTTATTTAATACTCTTAATGCAATCAGTTTGGGGAAAGAAGAAAGTTCACCCCTCAGAGATGTGCCGTTATTTAGAGGAAAGCATATTGATATGTAACTCATATAAGTCCTCAATTTAAAAATTCATAATACTTAGCTTTTCCATCTGAGTACGAAACACTCAGTGTTTCTTAGAAGTATGGACATTCCTAAACTCAATTTCATTGAGTTAAATGGTTAAATGAACTGACTAAACAACACTAACAACAAATTCTTGTTTAAGGGCAGATAAACTTGGGAACTAAGAAATATTTTTATCTGAATCAAAATCACAAGCTCTATGATAACAGACTACAAAAATTTAGGGTACAGTTTGAAGGAAGAATGTAATATTTAGACCTGAAAGTGAGAGGATATAATTATATTAAGGCACTTCCTCTGCTCAGCATTGGAGTAAATCTTCCATCACATAGCTCAGATGAGCTTCATAAAGCATTTCCCATAAGATTTTCATCTTATTATCATATTGTCTAGATTTCAACTGTAAAGAACTTATGCTTTCGTCACTTACTGCTCATGACTCACTCTTTGAATATTATTAAAATTTCCATTTCAACTAAAATATCTAATAGGACTGTGAAATATTGTGTAAATATGAGAAACACAGTGTATTCTCTTCTGTTAGAACAAGTTAGATTCATAACAAAAAGAAAAAAATTGAAGGAAATAAAATATGTCCAAGCTGAAGCGAACAATGGAGAAATACATTGAAACCAAAAGCTGTAAAACTAGATCTCTCTCTAGTCAGAAAACCAAAGGAAATGAAAGGCAGAACAGACCAAAAATCCCTTCATTATGAATGAAAAAACATATAGCTCTTGGTATTCATTAGATATTATAATACGGAAACTCTATGAACAAGTCATATCCGCGACTCAGACCCATTTCTTCACAGAGAAAAACTAAAGATATCACACACATTTTGTGGATATATGAAAAGACTTGAATGTGAGTAACCAGGTCTGTGAGAAAATGCCCTTCCGGGGAGCAGTGAGTGATCTCGTAGGGAGTTTTGGAGTAACAAGGTCTTCCTCCTGTGGAAGAGTCCGCCTTTAAACTTCCTTCATCTGTGTATAAAGGAAGGGTTTAAAAACCCTGAAACACCTGTGAAGCACTAACCCTGCTTGGAAAGATCTAGACTTTGTGTAGGTCTCGACCTCATGTGTCTCCTCTTGTGCTGTGAAGTGCGAGTCAACTTTTGTAGTAACAGAGTGTCACAGAGAGCTAGAAAACAGCAGGAGACGCAAGAAAGAGCCCATCACGTGTCAGAGCCAGGATGAGCCTTTGGCCATCCAGACTTCTAGCTTCCTAATGGTGAGAGAATAAAATTTTGCTGCTTTGAGATCCTAGTTGAGACTACTTTTGACAATCTGTCTAGAAAAGGAGACAATTTTATTACACAAAATTGTTTGTAATCATCAAAAATCTAAAGTCCATCAGCTGTTCTTTGATTTAATGGATGGGAAACAACAAATTAATCATGTCGTTATGCCCCAGTGAAGTATGCAAATGAATGAAGACTGACTAACCTGTGTCCAGGAAAGTAAATTTCCTCCCCTGTGTGGGGCAGGGGTATTCAGGACGTGTGTGTGTGTGATTTCTCAGTGATTTACAACACTCAGCGCCTCCCTCAAGTTTGGAGTCAATATCAACTCTCCTAGAAATTCTCATGAAATGTGCAGTACTTATGTGAGAAAAGGGAAAAAAAAGTATTGCTACAGTTCACTGCAAGGACAATATGAAGCAGGAGCAGGGATCATGGATAGAATTTTTCCATATGATCACTAGACTGGTGGTGCCATGGGACTCTTTGTGGCCAAACACATAAAAGTTGGCCTCATAGAGTTAATATCGAGATATGTACGTAGATTTTTTTAAAACCAAACACTATATTGAGGATTGTTTAAAAATGGATAGAACTATTACATATGTACCTGAAAGTATTAGAGGTAAGTGACATAATCAAAATGGAATGGGCGTTTTAAAATGACGCAAGCAAATTTAGAAAGCAACGTTTCAATTCTAAATCTCAGAGATTTCTGTGCTTGAGTTTTCTGTTCCATTAGTTGGACAGTTTTGCCTGGCTCTTGACTCATAACTACAATGCTATCTTACATGTATTTCTTTTTTTTTGCTTTTTGGGTCACACCCAGCAATGCTCAGGGGTCACTCCTGGCTCTGCACTCAGGAATTACTCCTGGTGGAGCTTGGGGGACCATGCAGGATGCCGGGGATCGAACCCAGGTCAGCTACATGCAAGACAAATGCCCTATCCGCTGTGCTATCGCTCCGGCCCTGTATTTTCAAGTTAAACTAAGAAGTAAACACTTAAGACTATAGTAGCACTGTCTTGTAGCACTGTCCTCCCGTTGTTCATCAGTTTGCTCGAGCCCAGTAACATCTCCATTGTGAGAATTTTACTGTGTTTGGCCTATTGAAAACATCACGGGTAGCTTGCCAGGCTTTGCCGTGCGGGCAAGATACTCTCGGTAGCTTGTCGAGCTCTCCGAGAGGGCCGGAGGAATCAAACCCGGCTCGGCTGGGCCTGCTGAGAGCAAGGCAAACGCCCTACTGCTGTGCTATCATTCCAGACCAAGACGATAGCAATAAGATTTATTTTTTGTTAGAAGAGGTTTCAAAAGAGAAATACAAAAATTCTTAACGAAGCCTGAGGCTTAGATTGCAATCTGAACTATCATTGTGCTCTGTGTTTATATATCACATATGTGTGCAGATATAAGGATGATATGAAAATAAATGTAGACACTTGTGGATATACATGCATACATTTCTTTTATTACCAACACAGAGAATTGGGAAGCAAAAACAAAGCAGATAAAACACAGGAAATACCACCTCCAGAGTCTCCTTTTTAATACAAATCTCCAGTCAAAGGTCTGCGACTCTTTGAAGCCATGCTTGATTGATTGTCCAACTGTGTAGGGTAAATGCAAAATACAGATTATTTGGTGGTTTGAGAGCGTAAACAAGTAAAAACAATAGATCTTTATTGAAAACATACATGAATTGAGCTAGAGGTACTACCAGTGTCCAGCATTGCGAATATGCAGGCAACACATATATGACGATGATAATGAAAGTTGGTCTCTTACCTAATAAAATCATCGTTTACACTGGCACACACATAGAGTTTTGAAGGACAAGTTTAAGGAAGAGATGAAGAAACTTGAGAACTAAATGCAACCTGGAAGCCCAGGCTTGGTTTCCAGAATTTGAAAGCTTTAATGGAAAAATTATGAAATCCAAATGTAGCACTCTGGGCATGATAGATACAGCTTGGGGCAACGTAGCTTACCAAAGTGGGTGATATTGCCTTCTTGGGGTGTAGGGGTGACGGGGGTAGCAGGAAAGTGGCATTCCGTGCAATAGAGAGCCTGAGTTTTTATGTCTTTGCCTAAAGAAGGTAGGCTGGAGGCACCAAAAGGTTGAGGACAGTCTCAGTGATTTTTTTTTCCTTTGGAAAGGAGCAACTAGAGTAAGTTTGGGAGTCTCTGGTGTAAATAAGTATTCTCTCTTTATCTCTCTTTCTCGCTCCCATTCTCATGCACTGTTCCTATCTCACACGCATATACACACACCCACACAAACTCATCACTGTCACTCTGTCTTCCTATTGTTCATCAATTGCCTCGAGCAGGCCCCAGTAACTCTCCTTCGTCCCAGTCCTGAGATTTTCAAAAGTGCCACATTCGAGGCTCTTTTAGGGTCAGGAGAATGAGACCCATCATTGTTACTGGTTTTTGGCATATTGAATATGCCACAGGGAGTTTGCCAGACACTGCCGTGTGGGCAGTATACTTTTGGTAGCCTGCAGTTTCTTCAGATTAAGAACTAGATGATAAGATGTCATGCGGCCATGAACTGCACTTCCAGGAACAGGGTTTTATAGTCTCTGGGTCTTGGACGTTGATGGGATTACACAGCGGAGGCAGTTGGTGGGTGTAGCGCCTACATGCTGGAAGATGGGGAATCTGGATGGAGGAGGCCCCAGTCCCAATCCGAGCAGGCTTGGAAATCTCTGTTCCTATCTCACATGCATATACTCACACACACACAAACACATATAACTATATAAACACATGCATCTAACTGCTTTTTTTTTTAAATTATGATTTTGATCCTTTTTCCTAATTTCTAACAGATGCTTTCAAAACTACTAAAAGTCTTTAACTTCCGGTCAGACTTTTCATTGGTAATACTTGAAGTGGTGATTTATAGAACCAAGATATTCTAAGTACAGTAGCACTGTCCTCCTGTTGTTCATTGATTTGCTCGAGCAGACACCAGTAATGTTTCCATTGTGAGACTTGTTACTGTTTTTGGCATATTGAATATGCCACAGGGAGCTTGCCAGGCTCTGCCATGCTGGTGGGATACTCTCAGTAGCTTGCCAGGCTCTCTGAGAGGGACAGAGGAATCGAACCCGGGTCGGCCGCATGCAAGGCAAACGCCCTACCCACTGTGCTATCGCTCTAGCCCATTCTAAACATGGTAGGCAAAATGGGCTCTGTTTAATCACTTTTTGTTCTGGCTTCCCATATCCGGGATAGGAAAGGTGACCAGTTGTGAAAGTGGAAGGAAGCTTCTTGTAAACAGTTATAAGCAGTTTTAAACAGAGTTAAAACCGAACTCCCCTAAAACCTAATTCTCTGTAAGTTCTATTTTAATTCTCCTCTGAACATCCAGCTACAAATTAGCATGATATTTTTAGAGCCCTGTCAATTGAAGATTAAAATATTCTCATCTTTTGCCACATAATGATGGCGAAGCTCATTGATGTCTCATCAAAGTCTTCAGGAATGTACATGCAATGCGAAGCCACTATGAACCCGAGCTATTGCTCTTCTTTAATTTTTATTATTAATCATTTGCAGGCAGCTGAGGCATGCTGAGTACTTCAAAGACTTCTTTCTTTGTGGAATTTGAGATTATTTTCCAGGCTTGTCCGTGAGGGAATTTTATTGTCCTGTTTCCTTCCATGCAGGATCCATTTACATATTAGATTGATTGTCCTTACAGTTGAGATCATCTATGAAGAGACTGTATTTTTTATTGAATATTATCAAGTTGTTTCAACAAACAGAAACAAATATTTCTCAGATGTCAGTGATCATTATTTATTGTGTGATGCACAGATTGAGCAAGCAATATTATGGTGTAGAAAAAAAATTCATTGTCTAGGCCATGAATATGTTTTATATAATTGTGAGAAAAAAGAAAATGTCTATAAACCTCAATGTTTAGCCCACTTTTTTGTCTTTTTCATTTATAAATAGCACTTTGCCATTTAATTTTAGCCTATTCATTCACATATTTTAAGTCCCTCTTGTGAATGGAAATTAGAGATATTTGTTTAAATTTAGAAGGCATCAATTTAAATTTAAACCTACTTTAAATTTCTACTGACTGGAATTTTAAAATATAAAATGCATTCTTTTGTAAAGTGTGCAGGATTGCGTTAGCAGTGTGGAGTATACATTGAAGAGTTTCTCATTACCTGGAAGTTGTATTCTATTTCAGCGGTATAGTGAGAGTATAATAATATTAAGAGGTCTTCCTTTTGGTGCAGGTACTCTATGACCAAAACCAGGATGTTCACTGTTGATGACAACGGCACGGTCATCACAACACACCCTCTGGATCGGGAGCTTAATGCTTGGTATAACCTTAGTATTTCAGCCATTGAAAAATGTGAGTACACATTTGGGAACCCATAGATGGGTCACTGTCACTGTTATGTTTGTTCGGTTTGGGGCCACACCATGTAGTGCTCAGAGCTTACACCTGGTTGTGAGTTCAGAGATCACTTCTGGAGGGTTTGGGGAGGAACATATGGGGTGGTGGGGATTGAACCCAGGTCAGCAGCATGCAAGGCAACTGCCCTATCTGCTGGACTATCACTTTGGCCCCATCATTATCATATATATGCCATTTAGCCTCTAAAGGTAGGTACTAAAGGTGACTTAAAATGTGGTTGGAGATATCATTAATGATATTTTGTATTTTAATTCATACATGTGTGCATATTTTATTATTTTAAATTAACATTGAGAGCTCACTCTTATTACAGTTTATTTTCAGATACAAACTGAAATACTTTTGATATGATTTTACTATTATATGCTTAAATCATGTGACGAAGTATAAATTTGCAGTTACAAAATATATGTCAAGGATAAAGGGTTAGTATGCAATAAGATTCTATTACAATTTTTTTTAAAAAATTACTGAGAATTTATCGAAAATAGAATTATTATGGTGACCATTTCACACTGTATACACACATTGTTTTATACCTGAAATTAATACAATGTTGTTAATTATACTTCAATTATAATTAAGCAAATTAGAACATAGGAAATAAAGAAAAACATAAAAATACTAACCAAAGGGGGCTGGAGCAATAGTACAGTGAATAGGGCATTTGCCTTGCATGCAGATAACCTGGATTCGATTCCCAGCATCCCATATGGTCCCATGAGCACCACCAGGAGTAATTCCTGAGTGCAAAGCCAGGAATAACCCCTGTGCATTGCCGGGTGTGACCCAAAAAAAGGTAAAGGTAAAGGTAAAGGCCCTCCCGTTGATCGTCGATTTGCTCGAGCGGGCCCAGTAACGTCTCCATTGGAGACTTTGTTGTTACTGTGTCTGGCATATGGAATACTCTCGGTAGCTTGCCGGGCTCTCCGAGAGGGGCGGAGGAATCAAACTCGGGTCGGCCATGTTGGCCGCTTGTAAGGTGAACGCCCTACCCGCTGTGCTATCGCTCCAGCCAAAATAAAAAGCAAAAAAAAAAAAAAAGAAAGTACAAACCAAAACTCAATTGAATTTCTAAAATCTTCATATAATTTAATGATAGATTCTTATAATGTATTCCATGGATACATTTTCATATAAATTTCTAAATTTTACAAGTTTTTTTCTAGTTAAGATTATTTTATAAATATATATGCATCTATATATTCCTTGTGGTGTTTCTTTAAGAGTTATGAGCTGATAAAAAGGAAATGTGTTTTAAAAAATATAATGTCTATGCTTAAAAATAATTATGGAAGAAAATATGCTCTAAAACTACTTTTATGGGAATTATTCCCTACAAATAATTTATCTACATTAAGGCAGAAGTTTTAATTTAGATAAATATGGAATTAATGTTATACAGTGTTTTACAATTACAGAAAAAGTAGAGAGGAAAAAATTAGTATTAAAGATGGACTAGTCCAGGTGGCTAGTACCCAACAAATACTAAGGACAATATTCAAGGCATTGGGTATTGAATTAATTAATACCCAAAAGTAATACCCAAGGAAAGTAGTTTGAATACTGAAAAACAGTTTGTATTACAAATGGTCTAGTTGGCTAACCCAACTAACACCCAAGGACATTACACAAGGACATTGTATATTACAACTGACTAATGCCTTAATGTCCCAGAAGGAGAGAGAGAGAGAGAGAGAGAGAGAGAGAGAGAGAGAGAGAGAGAGAGAGAGAGAGAAAGAGAGAAAGAGAGAGAGCGAAAGAAAGACAAGCAGGCAGACAGAAAGTAAAATAATGTCTGCCATAGAGACAGTCTGGGGGTAGGGGACTTGGGGGAAACTGAGGACATTAGTGGTGGGAAATGTACACTGATGAAGTGATGGGTAATGGAACATTGTATGACTGAAATCCAATTATGAACAACTTTGTAACTGTATATCTCAAGGTAATTCAAAAATAAGTAGCACTGTAGCACAGTCCTCCCTTTGTTCATGGATTTGCTCCAGGGGCATCAGTAATGTTTCCAGTGTGAGACTTTTTGTTACTATTTTTGGCATATTGAATACACTACTGGTAGGTGCGGGCAGGATACTCTCAGTAGCTTGCTGGTTCTCTGAGAGGGACAGAGGAATCAAACCCAGGTGGCTGTGTGCAAGGTAAACGCCCTGCCCGCTGTGCTATCACTCCAGTCCTGATTTAATTTTTTTTTCAAGTCTAGTAATGACATAGCCTGTATCCAAAATCAGAGTGAGTAATAGTTAGGGAACCAATCTAAATATTCCGTATTGGTGTTAGAAATAATCTTGAGTATTAGAGACAAGGTGACCCTTCCAAGGGAGATTTAAGAATTCAGACAGTGAAATCTAATCCTATTTCAATATGATTATGTAAAACAATCTGAAGAAGTTCAATAATAAAAATTCACTGTGTATATACATGCATGCCATCAAAATAGTAATACATATTTAAATTAACCTGATGGCATCAGCCATTCTACTGGCCCAATCTTTAATAGTTCTTAGTGACCTTTCACTCTTTAATTTTTCTTTTTTTAAAAAGGCAGATGACTTCCTCTTTGTCTTGTCAGAATTTGATGAAATCATCCTGACTGACCACTTGGACTACAGAGAAGTTTATTACCATTCCCATTGTTGATTTCATGGATTTTCTGACATACAATGAGGAATTAAATTTGTGAAAGGCAAACTTAATTGATGATGCAAACTTTCCTATGAATTTTTGCGCAGAATTTTCATGAGCTTGTTTACTTTCTTGACTTGTTTTTGAACACATCTCTTAGCCGTCTCTGGTGCAGTTGGCTGTTGAGATGGTGACTGGAAAAGCATCCCAGACATATTCTTTTGTCCTGCATTGAAAAGCTCTATAGAAACACTGCAGGAGACCTTGGGTCTGGATTTTGAATTTTCCATTTGAGGAAACAATAAAGGATGTGGGAGCAAATGTTACAAGGGAATAAATGCTGGCTGCAACAGAAGAAATGCCAAGTCTTTGGTGTCAGAAGACACAAAGATGTTTATTCGAAAAGCAAGACACTTTTATTCATTGGGGATTTCTAAGAACACATTATTTATAATGTCACTATTTACAAAACTATCAAGAAAATGAATGCCAAGCAGTTCAAGAGAAGCCTGGACTCTTTTTTTTTTAGTGTCTTTCTGTATAAAATAGTCTCAGCAATAAAAGAGCAATTTTAATGGGTTATGCAAATAATTATTCAGTATAATCTGGTTTTATATATAAGGTAGAAGTTTTGGAGGAATATAAAATAAACAAACTAATTATTATGTGCACTGTCAGAAAACAAAAAAAAACATTGTTAAAAATTATGTGTTGTGTATTCTTTCATAGAAAAGAATGTAATGAATGAATACAGGTAGGGATGGATGGATGGGTGATTGCTATGGAAAGTCTAATAAATAAATTATTTATTTATTTATTTATTTTTAAATTTTTATTAGTGAGACACCATGAGGTACAGTTGTAGACTTACAAATTTTTGCGCTTGGGTTTCAATTATACAATGATCAAATACCCATCCCTCCTCCAGTGCCCATTTCCCACCACCATGGATCCAAGTATCCCTCCCACCACCCATCCCCTCATCCCCACTGCCTCTGTGGTGGGGCATTCCCTTTTGTTCTCTATCTTAATAAATAATTTAACCAAATCTTCTCTGATCAACTAGATTATTCCATTTATATCAGAAAGATGTCCTGAAGCATTTCCTGGAAGTATTTTTACTTGTTTTATTAGACTGTAAAAAGAATTAAATATTACAAAAATCAAACAAAAGTAGTAAAGTATTTAGGTTCAAGATAGCTGCTGCCCATAAAAACTATTAATCCAGCATATAATTTTTTCCTTAATAGCATAAAATATATCCTGTTATTCATCGATTACCTTGAGCAGGCCCCAGTAATGTCTCCTTTATCCTAGCCCTGAGATTTTTAAAAAAGTGCTATATTCAAGGCTCTTTAGGAGAATGAGACCCATCATTGTTACTGGTATTTGGCATATTGGGTACGCCACGGGGAGTTTGCCAGACTCTGCCGTGTGGGCAGGCTACATTCGGTAGCCTGCCAGTTTGTCCAAAGTAGGAATGAGATAATAAGATGTCATAATAAGATGTTGTGCAGCCGTGAATATATCACCTTTAATAAATACCATAGTCATGACACTATTGTTTCTAAGGGTGATGGACAAATACTGATGAGCTTTTTAAAGAATTAAATTTTATTAAGTAATTTATGTCTATTTAATATAACACATGATAGTACTTTGTTAAAATTTTGCATATGATAACAGTTTTTAATGAATAACACATGTTTGAGGGAACCTACTCCAATTTAGCAAAACAATAAAAGAGAAACATTCTAATTTATTTGCCTATATACACAATGAGGAAATTAAGGTTCACTGACAATTGCCTCTCATTCCAAAACCTTTGTCTGAATTCTGCACCACACCTTTGCTTGCTAAATGAAAATATAAAAATGTGTGCTTATTCTCACTTAATGTTTTCTTTTTTTTTTTTTGCTACACATGGTGGTGCTCAGGGCTTACACTTGGTTCCTTGCTCAGGGGTTGCTCCTGGCTCTGTGCTCAGCAATCACACAGCACTGCTTTGGGTGTCACATGTAGTATCAGAGAAGAAGCCCAGGTTAGCATTCTTCCCTGCAAAACAAGCTCCTTAGATTTTTTTACGGCTACCTCACTTAATGTTTTCTGACTTAAATATAATCATAATAGTCATAGCCAATTTCACTTTCCCATTAAAGTGTGATTCAAAGTAACTTCAAATAATGACTCAAACGCAAAATTTTTGCCAGTCCAAGTTATAGAACTCCTTTGCCCTGTCTCCCCCTGACCCCCTGCTCCAAATGAAGATTTTTATGAAACATATTAACAGAATT